TCTATTTTACACCACCATTGAAGATTCTCTTAGAAGGTGGGAAAAATAATAATAATAATAATAATAATCCAAAATAATGTGTCCGGATGAAGATTTTTTCCCTTGAAAATTAAAGTATACAAGTGAACGTAATAACATAAGGAAGATAATCCTGGGTTGAGTTTAATTCTGTTCTTTCTTATTCCCCGAGGTTAGTAGGAGTAATTTCATAGTTGTTAGAAGTTTATGAATGTCAAATCTGTTTTTTCTTGTCTGCAGCTCATGGAAGTTCTGTTCAATGACTCTGTCTCCACTCTTTTCCGGACTTTTCTGTTTCCTATATTTTGCCTTTTGTTTTAGACTTAAATTAGTATTTGTATAAATGCAGAAAACTAACTAGTTTAAGTAAAAGAGAAATCACTGTAGCTTTTTCAAGATGGGTAGCTGAGATCTCCTAGCTTCCTGGAAATCGACCAAAATTCCCCTGAATATGGGGAAATGAGTTGGAAAAGAAAGCATTAGTAAGAATTATTTAGCAGCACTGGTTCATGTTATATCAGACACTCTCCATCCTCTTTATTTATATTGTATTGTTTTCATTCAACTGTTTACTCTCCTAGGGAGTAGTACCATCTTTTCCACTTTCGACCATTGGCTACCTTTCATCTAATATGTAGAGAGAGAGAGAGTAGCACGATTTTGGTTACTTTCCACCACAGGCTATTTCCCTTGTTGGATGTTGAACAATGGTTATGGTGGTTACCTTCAATCTCGACATTTAAATAACAACCAAATGATAGTGCATACATTTTAATATGTACCTATAAGAAATTTAGCTAGTATACAGGCAAATCCACATCAATTTAATAGTTTTATTTTTTCCCGAGAACATGGTTTAGTGGATAGGTCATAGCAAACATAAAATGAGGTGAATTCATGTCAAGCCATTACCTGTTTATTCCAAATATTGTATTCCATCTTTCAGACCTTTCTGTAGTGTTTATCACTGCATTTTGGCGGTCATAATAATTTGTTGTACTAGAGTTTGTAATTATTGTGGTTTTTATTTATGAATATTTGCACTCATTATTGTCTGGATGTTCTGATGGTTGTTTCTTGAAGATTATCTTCCAATATAATGTTATAAGATTCACTTAATGATTGAAGGCATATTGCTGAGTTGTTGGTTGAAGCTATGAATTTTATTTCACTTCTCAGGTCCATCAAATTGCAAGGAACTTTCGGGATAAGTGGATTCCTAGACATATGAGAAAAAATGGCTGCAAGGAGATGGTTGATGGGAGGATGGAATATAATCCTCATTCTAGCTACCCTAAGTTTCCTGTTTTACATGATCATGGGAGTGATAGGAAACTTTCAAAAGCAATGGTGTTGGGAAACGCATTCTGTGCCTGAATCTTGTATGGGTAACCCTGGTGTTCCAGACATCTCATCCTCAGGTGATAGTTGTGGAACCAATGGCAAAAAAAAGCACAAGCGTAAAAGTAGATGGGATAATCCGTTGGAGGTATGCCCTTTTCCAAGCATCAACAATGATGTTCCTCCTGGGTTTTCATCTCCTCGTAATGGTCCTACGCTCCCATATGATGCGTCTTTGACCTCTGTTGATCACCGAGAGGAATCCATGCACATGAAGGGTCCATTTGATGCAGTACTGGGTGTATCACAGCAAATTTTTATTTCAGGTCTTTCTGTCTCTTATGGCATTCCATTTACTATCATAAAACAATCTGGGGGCCTAGAAGCAGAAACTTCCGAGGATCCTTGGGATGTAGCTCCTGGTGTGCCATTCCACGTCTTTCCCCCATTGCCTCCATATCCCTGTGACAAGAGGAACCCACTAGCCTCTGCTGCTAACTGTCCGTCACTGAGTGAACCTGCAGATAAAGCAGATGCGGGTTTTGATAATTGTACTGCTCATCACTCAGATGAAAATTATGTGAGGAAAACCAGATTTGACTCACTGGCTGTAAATAATTCAGATGTAAATCACAGATTTGATTTTCAGCAGGGAGGGAGTTCCTATAACTTGGGGAGGAATTACTTTAAGCAGCAAAAGTGGAATTACTCAAAGTTTGCGCCACCATGGGTTCTGAATAGAAATGTTTGGTAATGTACAGGGAGCAATCCTAGAAATGGCGTGCGAAATTGCCATTTAGGTAATGGGGGAAAATTGAGACTAGACATACAATTCATGAGCATTGACAATGATAAATTTGGCATTATTTATAGGATGATTTTCAAGGAGCTTTTAAAAATTTTAACGCTCCTTTTGAATCTATTACATTATTTGCTGCATAGATTTACTAAAAATAAAATATTCTTTTATCTGTTTAGTTTTATCCTCATGTATACTCCATTGCCGAGGTTATTCTGAGAAATGATATACTTGCTTCAGGAATACAAGTTCAAACTTCAAAAGAGGCAAGCTTATCTCATTTATCTTAGATACTAATATTAATTTTTACATTTTTGGAATAAAATTTACTGCTGTTCCATGCTGGTTATTACTCTTTCCCTCTTACTGTGTATGTGCACCTGTATCTCTCTGTGAAATTTGGCAGTGGTGCCAATTTTTGGGTTTTGGTTCTCTTTTTATTTGAGTGGTGGTGGGGGTGGGGAGGGTGATTGAATAAGATGGGATACATTCATATGGTTCCTTGTACAGCTAGGATGGGGGTTTTTGGTCCAAACTCGATTTTGCCGTGTGTGCATACATGGTAAGCATATTCTATCTGTAGTAAGTTGTTTTCTTTCTTTCTTTCTTTCTTTCTTTCTTTCTTTTTTTTTTTTTTTTTTTTTTTTTTTTTTTTTTTTTTTTTTTTGTCATTTCTAATTGATTTTTGATATTTGTAATTAGATTCTTGGACGAGCCTATGCAAGGGGTCCCTACGGAGTCATACAGTAGAATTGGAGTGCTACAGATGCCATTAGCAACAAAGAAATCTACTTTGTGCAATGAAGTGTTGACATGGAGAATTAAAATGTATATAGATTGGTCTGATGGACTTCAAATACACGGACATATTATGCATTTTCAGGTAGTCTTTGTTTCCTTGGAAATTGCATTGGCTATCTTTCTTCATTATCATAATGTTCAAATAGGAATTTGCATAGGAATTTTGAGTATTTCTTTGAAAATCTCATGGCGTGTGTCGTAGGGAAGACTGGATGGTATTAAGCAAGATAGTCATTAAATTTTTGTTCATTGTATTGTTCCATGCGTGTCCAATAGTGTGTACCAACTTCCACTTTCAGGATTTTCTTTCATTTGGTATAAAAGCTTTCTTTTTGGCTACCTTTTTGCTGTTTTCATTGATGGGATGCATTTTGGTAATGGATATACTGTAAAGTTAGGGCTATGGAGTGACGAGTGGATACGGAAATTGCATCTTTGTTTTCCATTCCAACTAAAGCACACAGTGACTCCCGAAGGTGAGTATGTAGAATGATCTTTTGCATATTCTCGAGCGACAAGTGTCCTCGAGTCTTTCAAAGATCTGGTCTCAAAGTTGGTTGTCTAGGAATGTCCGGCTTGCTTATATCTTTTGCCACGTGCTGTCGGTTTTAGTTCGCTAGTCAGTGATTGGGCATTGGCAATTGCAACCTAGGCAATTCTTGCGCGAATTGGTCATTTAGGATGTCTAGAAAGCTTTTTTTATGAAGTCTTAGAGAGATCGAGTAGAGATGAATATTATGTTTTTGTATTTTGTAACGAGAAATTCTTTAGTGTTTCATGAGCGTTTACATGTAAACTTTAGCTGAAAATGAAGATCTTTATAATTGTTTCCTATTATAGCTTCGAAAGGTGAAAAATAATGAAAATTTTTATACAAGGATGTGAATTATTCACCTGCAAAAAGGGAAAGAGTTAATACATTTGTGTTGTCAATAATCACCATTTGAAATAATTTATCGAACTGATGGAGACTTGACTCCAAAAGAAATAATCAGCTACCGAAGGACTCAAAATTCAGCCTTTTCCAGATGGGGAATTCCAGACATGATGCACAGGTTGAGTCGTTCACCCAATAAAGCATTACGTGAATTGGCATTTAATTGTATTTGACATTGCTTGTGAAATGTCTTTTACGTGGATTTATATGTACTTTCGATATTATTACCTTACAAGCTAATTTAAAGGGCAAGTTCTACTCAGAAGTGAATGTTACAATTAGTATAAGAACGGACACTTCTCGTCTTGAAATTCTCTCTTTGTTGTTGGGTAACTTGGGAAGGCTACTTCGGTAGAAGACTTATTCTACAGAACCGCTTGTTAAAAAATAAGCCTTCATAAACATCAATTTTAAATATGGGCAGAATGTAACAATCCAGATGCTGTTTGGCAGCCATTTTGTATCATATTTTTAGAAAAATTCTAGCCGTTATACTAAACTTGTCTGAGGATGAGCTCTGTATTTTGACGAAATTACAGAAGAATTACCAATGTACCCCCTTCCCCGCCAACACCCACACACAAATAATAATAAATAAATAAAAAATATATATCATTTTTCTTTAAGCAAGAGCAATTTCAATAATTTGTATTATGTGCAACATCTACAGTCAATAATTACAGCTTGTCTGGGACCTACCTCCCTATTGAAACAGTAAAAAAAATGCATTCTGTATTAGGCCAAAATAGATCCCAAACATGAACCTAATTTTATCTCACATCGTTCATGAAATGTCTTGTGAACTTATTAGCCGTTAAAAGTACATTCTATAACCGTGAATATTGAGAGGAAATAATGCTATCTAAAACTAGTAATGCTAGAGCACCAATCTAGATGGCTAAATTTTATAGGTTTAATTAAATTAGACATATTTTAATTAAATTAGACATATGATCTTGCATTTTAATGAATTTGTCATTTAATACCCATATAATTGTCATCTAAATTAGTGTTTAATATCAGTAATAATGAATAACATTACTCTACCCTTATAATCTGTTTTCCAACGAAAAATGTAAAATATCAAGGACTAAAAGAGTTGCATACCTACAATTCCAAAACAATATTTCAAAAAGTAATCAACAAAGGTCTTATTCCTGATAACCATAGATACATGCAACAAGTTTATGTGCCTTTACAAAAATTTACGCAAGAACTAAAAAAAGGATATATCCGTACACCTGTACAGCTGTTTTATTTCAAGCAGTTCAATCTTGCCAAGATTATCGTAAGAGCAGCTTATCAATATCGTCTCAATAATCGTCTAATTTGCACATAGCACCAAGTTTTCAGTAGTGTCCTCTGCCTTCTCCAACCGCGAAAGTATCGTCCAATCACCTTTTTATAGCTAGGTCTCTGCTGCACCATATTCCAATACTCAGCCATGTTTGGCCGGGTATCGATGTATTTCTCTTTCAAATTCAAGAGAACCAGTCGACTCAGAATAGGAATGAACATGATGTCTGCCAAAGTAAACTCGTCACCAACCAGATACGTCGTTTCTCCAAGCTTAATTTCAGCTTCATCGAGAATCCTCTTGAGATGGTCTTCGCTCTGCCTAAGAACTTCCACATCCTGCATTTTATCCTCTGTTTCATATGCTTCTCTCAGCTTACGGTGATATGCACTTGCCAATTCAGGAGACTCAGCCATTCTAGCAATTAAAACGCGCCTTAAGAATTTAGAAACATAAAGACGATATTTCACCGGGAGGTGGAAGAGAGTAAAGAACTTGGGATTCCATTGTTGTATTTTATGCATCCATTCAACAACTTCTCTGCTGCTAAGAGTCGGGTCGTCCCTATACCCGCCAGAAGAGACCAATGCAATCCTTTCTATGTACCTGTACGTCTTTTACATTGTTATAATCAGTAGAAAATATTCCTAGCAGCAATTTAAAGAACTAAATTTTCTTTAATCCTCTGCCCCTCCAAACCTCGAAATGAAGGAAAACATGTTGATGAATAAATTTAAATAAATAACGAGTTTCCTTTCTACTAATTTAAGCTTTTAAACGAGGCGTGATAACAAAGCAGACAAAGACCATAGGTTCAAGTCTCATTGCCATCCTTTTATGAAAAATAATGTGAGAGTGTTAGGCTTAGAAGAAAAGGGGAAAACAAATAATAAAAAAGCTGACCTACTCATGAAAAAGAGAGGTGGGGGTGGGGAGGGGGTGTTCAAGAAAATTAAAATAAATAAATTTGTCCGAAGCTTAAGCTTGATGATTTGGTTCGAGAAAACACAACAATGGTCAATATAAATTTGTAAGTAAATGATACAAACAACACATGTGCCTTCTTTTGTTTGGTATAACGATAACCATGGTATTGACCACAGCAATTCACATATAATCCTGAAGAAAGCAACGTGGAAACTAATTTAAGACATTCAATAGCCAAGTATGCAAACAGAGTTTAAAATGTCCCCCGAACACTTTTAGAAGGGTAAGAGAAAAGTGACAAAACAGGTAATAGTGAAGATAAGCGAGAATGAAATAAAGAATAAAGATAAGACGTACTGAATGATCTCTATAGTGTTGTATAAGATGACAGAACCATTCTGAAAAACGGGAAGTTTAGCACTTGGATTCGTCCGGAAGAAATTGGAATCGAAATTCTTGCCAGTGACAGGATTAACATGGAATGATGTGTAATCGATGTTCTTTTCTTCCAATGCGAGCCTCACCTTCTGGCTGTCCAAGGAATACGGGTGGTGATATAGCTGCATGATGCTATCAGCATCAACTGTTGAGCTTTTCACTCCAGTATACAGCACTTTGATGAGTGCTATACAAAATCTTCGCTTATGGGGGGAAATCCTGCATTCATTGATGATCGATCAGAAATCACTGATGATCAATTTATTTAATCAAACTCCATATTCTCAAGCTCAAAAATCTCAAAAATTACAAATAAGTTGGAGCATTTTTTAGCTTAGCCAAACATGCTCTAATCTGATAGTTGATAAGTAAACACAGTTAAAAGTGAGCCAGAACACGGACAATATAAACAGATGAAAACAAAATGAAACAACTGATAGATGCAGAATAGTAAACAAGAAAGCATGAGAACCACAGACATAACTTCGTAGAAGTCATCTTACGAAGTCATCTTCAGTTGGATTTCATCTCGACCCTACATGTAGAAGACATCAATTTTTATTTTATGCAATATTCAAGGGTTCGTTGCATAATCCTTGCTAAATTCGTGAAGTCCCCAAAATCTCAGACCTTACTTGCTTTTTTTTTTTTTTTTCCACACATTTTTGGCACGTGTTATGGTCTTCAGGGATAAGCTCAAGCAGAGACAATATCAAAAACCATGACCATCTACAAAATCTGGGCTACTTTTTTCATTTTTCCACTTATTACTCACCGATCATGGTCTTCGGTGATAAGCTCAAGCAAGATTCAAGACCAGAACAAAATTCATTTGATCAACAAAATAGTCAGTTGCGTAGCTTTTGTTAATCAATATCCAAAAGAAATCCACTTCCAAATGCACAAGGTAATCATTTCAAAATAAGTGCACTAGTTACATTCGAACAGCTTATCAAAATTCAAGACGTGAGCAAAATTACAAAATAGTCAGTTGCAATTCATCTTTTGTTGATCAATCTATCAAAAAGTCAATCCACTTCCAAAAGCACAAGATACTCATTTCAAATCAAGTGTACTACAGCTAACTTTGATTTATTTCAACAGAACACAGAATCATCGTTATTTTACTCATGTGTTATGAGCCAAAGCATGTTTTGGATGACCATATTGTAACGACACTGTGTATGGTATAACATTTTGAGCCATAGGAGATGAGAATGCTTTTAATGACTTAACTTGTTTAAGGCCCATAGAATTAATGCTTTGATCAACCATTCGACCAAATAACTTCTAATCCCATTGAATGCTTTTTAGTGAACTTCCTCATACACGAACGCTTTTGAGTCCTTTAGTATCACAGCAGGGCCACCATGGTTGAAGTTTCGCTTGTGTCTTTCATTTGCCGGGAGCGCTCAATTTCCTGCTAGGGAAGGGATTAAATGCTAAGACCTCTCTTTAGTTTCACAACAAGTGTTCCTGTGAGTCTTCAATTCGCCAGGAGTGCTCAATTTCCTGCTAGGGGAGGGGTTAAATGCTAAGATCTCTCTATATATCTCAATGCGAGCCCATTTCATGATTTTTTACCCATAACCGAAGCCCAGCCCAGCCCAGCCCAGCCCTAGCTCCAGCCCATTTCAATTTCTTTTGTGTAAATTTTTTACTTCTCATATTAGCCAGGCTTAAAAGAAACAGTCCGATCTTGGATCCATCCCTGCAGCCATAGTCCTTATCTGTAAGATGCTTGGAACAAGAGTTTTGGTTTGTGGATAGAGTTGGTTGCAGGTGTTCTATTACAGTGTATAGTTAGAAATGGAGCGGAAAAAAAGGAGGGTTCATCACCGTTTGGCAAAACATCTAGCATTTTTCTATAGTGTGGTCTTAGCAGATGGTGATACAACTCTTGTCATCAACATTGAATGTAAATGTGCTTCATTACTTGATTCGGTTTTTCATTATTTTTGTTATGAATTTGAAAACATACGAAAATGTGAGAAGAGACTCAGTTTTCCATTGATTATATTGGTTGTGACAGATAACCATCGATAGGTTTACATTATCACAAAAAACATGAGAATCAAATGTAAAAACGAATTTCTTATCATATTCTTATCTATTTAAGATTTATGACTTCCCAGAAAATAAAAATAAAAACCCAATCTTGTATGAAGCATGTTTGCAAATTCAAGCGACATATAATAGTTGTTTCTAATGTTCGATGTCCTCGGGGCCTGGGTTTGCTCCCTAATGATCATCAATTCGAGTTCCCTCAAACCATCGAGATGAGTACCCGACTGTAAACTTCAGGGCCACATGGGATTAGTCAAGGTGCACATAAGTTGCCCGAACACCCACAGTCATAAAAATAAAATAAAAAAATTCGTATTTTAGGAAACATGATTAGAGTGTGATTTTAATTAACTTTTATGGCATTTCTTTACTTAGTTATGATTTTTGAAACCCTATATTAAGGGGATTATAGCGATGTAATAAAACAACTCGGCTAAATGATATAAATTGATTTCTCTTCCCCAATTTCTATCTTCCTCTTCCCCTCTTCTTCTCTCCTTTCCCCCTGCCTCTCTCTTCTCATCTCCTCTTTCCCCTTCTACAATTCTCCCATCCGGCGTCACATTCACATTCACAAAGTCAAATCCATTCCGAAAATAGTCACTTACTTGTCCAGCATTCAGTCTCTTGTTATCCCAATTAAGAGCAAATTCTTCAGATGCTTGGCGCTTTGTTCCAATAGCTTCAAATATAAAGAATACACAAAATTAGCGACATGCTCAAACCATTTGACCCATTCTAGACATGCAGCGCATTTGACAAATGATAGTATAAGAAAATAGATTACAAAAATATAAAACTTAACTCATGTAACATAATACACTGGAGGATGGTGGATGCCAATACAAACCTAAATAAGTCCAAGTGATAGGAGGGTAAAAGAAGAAAATATCACCAGTGTGCTGCTTTCACCAAAAACAATAAGTGTTTTTCCCGTGAACATTAGTAGAGGTAATAAGGTTTCTGAAAACGTGGATGCTCAATTTTAAACTCTCTGGAATTCAATTTTCAGTTGATCTTGGGCTGAATGTTAGTCTTTCATTTAGAAACCCTTGCTGGATATTTTCCATTGATCTTGTATATAGTCAACTAGTCTTTGCCAACCCCAAGCCACCGGCCAACCCCACCGACTGTTCCCCCACTCTCGCCCCCACTACTTGCTACAATATAAATATCTATAAATATGTTCTTGCTTAAATATATTTAATCCACTTTTTTTTCCAATTATTTGCTCATTAAAATAAAAATATGATCGTTATTTATCATATCAAGTCACTATATTTGATTTTCTATCTCTTGCGTGAGATTCGATTATATTTTTCATTTTTATTTTTATATTAATGTGCACCAAACGGGACAATTATTTGGATCAAGTCATGAATTGAACATAGTGACCACAGATTGCTCGACTAAGCAAGTGATCGCTTAGAATATTTTTTAGATAAACTTAAACAGAATATGAGTAACAATTTTATATCCAAAATTTGAATTTTTGCCTTCTTAAGGGGAATGGTTATTTTTTTAGGAGAAACTCTAGCTTTACGAAACAACTGATAAGCAAATTATTTTAAATTTTGAATTTATTTTAAAACTAAACTTTATAAGCTTAGTTGCGTGTGCTATAAGCCCAATTGTGTTTGGCACTTTCGTTCAATATATCCTATTCATGAAATATGAGGTTAAAAAGTGGTAAAAGTTGTGAATTTAATAAAATATGTCATTAAATATTAAGGTTGATCAACTTATGATCTCATAACAAACATGGGCATGTTGTCAAAGCATACTGGCGCTTAAGTCACATTGTCGTCTATTAACAAGTGTTGTGTACATAATAGAATTTCAATGAAAAGCAAATTCAACCTGCACATGAGATTCGTGTATGATTTTTTCCTATGAGTCTAAAAAACAGAGTTATTCTAAAACGCTTGACTTAAATTTGATTCATGTTTTTCAACTTACCAAACTAGTCAACTATTTAAAAACCAAATTCAAATCATAGACAATTGTTTGCAAAAAAATAAAAAATATATAAAATAAAATGAGAGAGAGAGAGAGAGAAAGTGCAAAAATCTATGACGTAGGCTCCAAAATCTCCAGTGACTTTCAACTGTCAACTGGATATCAACTCAATAAACTACATAGTAGGAGGGAAAAAGATGACAGAAACATGCCCTAGATATATCATTCAAAAGATTATTCAAATCAGTGGGCTGGAAAAATTTAAATTGCTTACTAGTGCAAAAATTCAAAAGACCAACAGTTGATTTAATTTTAGCTTAGTGTATAACAATAATTTTATTTTCGATAAGATACCAAAAAGTCATCAAGATTTTGGATACTAAAGAACCTAATTGAATTGTGCGATTGATGCAAAACATGTAAACTTGTACGCAATATGTAAGAGTGACAGGATAGTAATAAATAATACCGAAGAAGTGAAATAAGCTAAATTCTTATTTATTATAATGGTAATCCTATCACATAATGTGAACATGCCCTTAGGTTTAAATTACGTGCAAGGCTGTAAATCTTAATAAAAAAAAAAAATAGACGTCTATACTTTTAACATTGGCATTTTATGTTTTTAATCTCTCCGCTAAATGAATGAGTCATTTCTTTTCGACATCGCATTCCCATATTCCAAGCATAAGTTAGTGATGCTTCGAGGGATTTTCTTCTAGCATTGGAGGCTTCTTGGGACGATTGTGATAGTTCCACTATGGAAAAAAGGGGATGAATGACTTCATGTCTAATCTAAGCAAAAATCGAGTTTTGCTCATTCAATGAGCGTTATCATAACTTACGCGCCTACTTTTGATCAAGATAACTTGAATCTCATATATATTTCTCTTTGTTTGACTTCCCGACTTGCCTTATTGAATCAAAGCTATAAATGAACGCTCTTCATGTTCTAAAAAATATTTAGATGAAAAGTGAAGTACCAAGGACAAAAAAGGGAAAAAAATGTAAAAAATAATGGCTGCTTCTCAGTTCTCATATTATACAATGGTCAAAAGAAACTAAAAAATTAAAATTTCTAATAATCAAATGTTTGAAGAAACAGAAAGGGACATCATATTTTTAAACTCCTCAAAATCAAGAACTCCATCTGAATTTGTATCATAAACTTTAATCATATTTTTGCAATCCCCATTACACTTTTCCCATAACCCTAATCATAATAACACACTTTGAAGCTCTTCACATGATGTAAATCCATCACCATTTAAATCAAAAACCTTAAAAGCCTTGAGCAAATCACTTTCCGAACTGTCATAATTTCCTTCTTTGTTTTCACTTATATTCGACTTTATTACATCTTTGCAGAAGAGGAAAAAATCAAAATAATCAAGATTTGTTGATCCCACAAGCTTTTACAGCTCCTCTAGAGTTGTATAGTTTCCAACTCTATCAAGAAGTTGTTGCAACTCATGAATAATTACATGGCCTGCCCTCTTTCGGTCGAGGCTTTCAAAAATCAGTTCAAGATCATTGGTGTTGAGAGGAGACATGAAACAACGAACTAAGCCTTGTTCCGATAAATTTGGGGTCCACTTTCTAACTTGTGTGCTGCGGAATAATTGAGTTTGTATATACATACAGATACAAGTGGGAAGAATTGAAGGAATTGTTTATGGTGATCCAATAAGGATATGAAAAATATATGCTTTGAAGTTTAAAGTAAACTTCTTGGAGAAGAGGTTTTGAAATGCCATATTTATTTGAGAAAGTTCTTTAGTATTATTCAACCAAGTAAGCCATGTTTGATTTAGCTAAAAAGTTAATAAATATTTAAATTAAAATTAATAATTAATTTTAAACACATATTTCATGAAATCTACAATTTTTATCAACTTTCAATCACAAATTTCATCAACTTTTTACAAAATCTACTAAAAATATGATTTTTTCAGCAAAATCAAATTGGGGCTAAATATGAGTTGAAATAATACTGGACTTTTGCTTGGTTGGAAGGACGAATTTGAATGGGAAAATTGAGGAAATGTCTTCTACTGATTTTAGAAAAAATATATGTATTTTCCTCTATTTGGTTTGGAAGGTATACGATAATAAGTACATTTTAAGATGCAGTATTTGACAGAATTAGATGGTATGATGAACATGATTGTTTATCATTTTGTTATCGACTAATATAATCTAGCTTAACAATCATTCTATTTATTTGTTTCTCGTCATAAAGTTTAAGGAACTCTTTTTTTTTTTTTTTTGTAGCTCGTAGATCAATGAGATGACGACAATAAGTAGATCAATAATCTAAATTCTAAAATGAAAAATAGAAAAGAGAAAAGAGAAAGGGAAAAGAAAAGTAACATTGTGTAACTTATATATATTGTGGGTCGGATGGAAAACATATTTCATTCTTTACAATACTTATTTTGTTACAAGTATATACCATTTGGCAGCATGTTTGATATGCAAAACAAAACGATTCTTTTTCTTTTTTGATATTGATGGTGTTGCTACGTGGGGGGATTACATAATATTAACAGTTATAATTACATCATGAACAACTTTAAATCGTGTAAAAGAAAACATTTAACATGTTATATTTGAACCGAGAAATTTTGAATGTGATCCTATGATATGTTATGTCCAAAAATTTTCATCCATACATGCCTTTGTTAAAGTCTATAGGACCATAGAATTTCGAGTCTTTGTGGTTGTCTATATTGTGACTCAATTAAACAAAAAGATATAATCTTCTATTAAAGTGGTTGTATAACTTTCTAACGAGTTTTTCTAAATACCCTTTTTTATAAAAATAATTTTTAATAGCAGCAAGATGTACAGAGTTTTTAGTCGAAGTACAAGTTGCTCAATGCTCATAGAGAAGTCAACCATTAATGTGATATCAGGAAATTAAGTAGACAAATTCAATATACATTATTATTTTTATAACATTCAAAATATATACAAAATGAAAGTACAATTAGTTATACATGGAAAAAAATCGATAGAATCAGAAGATATCAATTTATTTCATGCGGTGCGTGTGCGTGTGTTTGGGGGGTGGGGGGCAACTAGCTGGTGGTGGTTTGGGTGATGGTTGTGTTAGTGGATTGGATTCGAAATGGGAGTGGTAGGAAAAGAAGGTTTATTTGTGGCTTTTTCTTTTATTTATTTATTAAAGCGAGGGTAAATTCATCATTTTACATTGATAAAATGGTGGAAGGATGAGTTTTGCTACATTTTCAAAAGGTTGAGGATATCTGGAGCAAAAAAAGTATGATGGTAGATTAATAACATTGCAAGTTTGAGGAAGAAAAGTGCAAGAAACCCAAAAATGTACGAAGAAATGCCATGCTTGAAAATTAAGGGCCCTGCATGAGCCTTTAGGTGGCCCAACTTGCCACCCTTAAGCCCATCTCATCCCAATTATAACACTGAGTAGATAGAAAATCTGAAATCCAACATTCCATCACTACCTTTGCTTTGAATGATGCATAAAGTTCAAAACATTAATCGATCGAGAAACTAACAAGATTTCGACGAAATGTATACACTGCTTAGGGTAATTTATACTAAGGCTGAATCATTATTTGAAAAAAGTTTTTCTTTTTCTTCCAAAAATAAATGCAACTAGAAATCCCAATCAACCCACAATGTGTTTTTATTTTTTAAGTCTATGTTTGGTAAAGCTTTTTGCAAATAATAAGCTGTGGTACTTAAGGGAATATGTAGATAAAACGTGGTTAAAGGTGGTAGATCATACAAAATGTGTCGATAAAAATGATATTTGATCAACTTATAAGCTTTATAAAACTTTACCAAACCTGTTATTAGAATGATTTATGGGCTATTAGCCTAGAAGAGCTCGCATATAATTTACATTGGCTCAAAACCACCAACCACCGGAAAAAGAAATTAAAATAAAGTTAGTGAAACAAATACTTGCACATACAATTATTGTAGCAAGACTATCTTGTTTGAGCCATATCTTACCATGTAACACAACAAGCTCTTAATAGTAACTACAAAATTTTTTGTTCAACAGCTTTAGCCTTGATCTCCAACTAGAAAACGGTTTTCAGTCGAACTCAATCCTGTTGAATGAAGCTGTTTTCGCCTCTTTACCAAATGTAAAGCAGTTTGCCTGTCCCCTTTTGCTTCCATAGAATCCGGCTGCATATTTGGTAGCAAACATTTAAGAAACTATTTAAATTAAGATCATCAAACTAGTTCACTAGAGTTACTCGCGGAATATGATATCAACACATACTAGGTTGACAAAAAAAGTGTGCCTGAGAAATATAGTGCTTGTTTGGTATTGCTTTTAAGAGTTTATAAAATGTGGGTTCTATGGAATGTAAGGATAATAAGTGGTTAATAAGTTGTAGGTCATATTAAAAAAAAAAAAGAGTATTTGACCAAACTGAAAAAAAATAAAATTTAAGCACACCCATATATGCTCTTAGCGTGCATTATATATTAACTGGCTCCAAGCGTCAAAAGTTAAAAAGTTACTTTAAATTTAAATTTTTTTTTTTTTTTACTTGATGGAAAAAGAAAAACCTATCCAAATGGAAAATAAAACGTTAATAAGTATTTTTATTTACTTCTAAGCTCAGCCAGACATGCACTAGTCTGCTCTGGTCATAAATCCATATTCACATTAATAAGAAGCCACAGAAAAAGTATAGCCTTGTGCCCTGGAAGATCAAAGAAGACAAATCCAAGCACAAAGGCCAAACGAACATCTTGCATTGTTACCTTAATTGCTAATGCTTTGTCAAAGCTTTCAATGGCACAATCAGGCTCCCCAAAGTTTAACTGAGCTCTACCAAGGGTGATCCATGCCTAGCCAGAATAAATAGTAAAAAACAAATTAACAGATGGGAGTTAAATCGTGGGGTAATCAACATCAACATCAACTAGTTAAACTTTTGCAAGCCATCTGACATTAACATAGATAAAATTTCCAGAATATTATACTATGTTAATTGAACCTCATGCATGACTATTGCCAAGAATTTAATGAAATGTGAGGAAAAGTGAACTACAGATTTCAACATCATTCGACAAAATAATTAAATTACATTTACCATAAGGAGGTAGATATAACATACCTCGGCCCATGTAGGTTCCAGCTCAGTAGCTCCTGTCAAAGAAAAAGCACCCCTGAATGAATGAATATTTATTTGACAAAGAACGATGCAATTATCCATCTCAAATAATTCCAAAGTCATATATAAGTTCCCCTCACAACATCCAAAACAGGAGTAAATGAAAGCCAGTACAAGGAACTTGAAGAGAAAAAGAAAAGGTGAAGTCATGGGTAAATTAATGTAACTTACACGACAGGCAAAAGTGAAAGAAATAAAAAAGGGAAACAAAATAGGGACGCACGAGTCGCAGCCTTCAAGGCATGCCATGATTCTCCAAGTTCAAGTAAAACTTGAGCTTTTTGTTCGTGTAAAACAGCTCGCTCTGGCATCAATACAATTGCAGTCTCCCACTTTCCAAGTGCTTCTTGGTAATTCCCATCCTTCAGAATAGAAAAAGAATGAAAATGGATGCATCATGTAGCGTAGCTAAGTATGTTCAACCAAAAGTGGCGTCATGTGAGAAATCGAAACATGATGTAGCAAATTTTTCACTTCTGTTTGGAATGCCTTGTTTCTGCACTTGAGCAATAAGTAATAGTACCTGTCCTTATAATAATTACAATGGAAAATTTTTAGCAAATACTGCAAATAGATAGCCAGTGAGTACTGAAGGATGGCAAGTAAACATAACCCATGTAAATTATGGATGACAGAATTATGTTGATACACTATCCAGGAAAAAGCAGTAAACTTTGCAACCTTCAAATGGCTTTAAATACCATTCAAGAAAGTATATGTTAGGCTCCATGAAACATTTTTTAATCCCTCTCAAAACTAGTTCTCAATCCTTTTTAAGCGAAGCTTGCCAAAGAGTAGAATTTTGCAACTTTGGACTCTTTTTAACAAATTTAAACTTCTTACTCATCAAATTTTTTTGGAAAGGTTTGCTTCATGCGAACCTTGCATTTTGATTTATTTCAGGTTCAATTTACTTTAGGCAATGTCCCTTTTGCTCGCGAGCGCGCACACATCCACCGCCTTGGGCCCCATGGATATACTTTTAGATGGTTGGACTCGCATGTCACGCAAGCCATCCCAAATGTGTATTCTCTTTGTATACATTGTTTCCTTTTAGTGAATGTTTTCAAATACGAAGAAGATAAAGTTGATAGAATCAGCGAAGGGTGAACACTAAGGAATGAATCTTGACTAACACCAATTAAGGGCCTGTTTGATAGAATTTATTTGGGAATAATGAGTTATTGAATAGTATTTTTTGGAGAATGTGTGATTAAAAAATAAGAAAATTTTATTGGTTTGTTCACATAATATTATTATGTGAATGTGTAGTAGAAAATCATACTGTAGCAAGCAATTTAAATTTTCAAAGGATAACAAATAGGGGCTAACTAACATCTGTAAACACATTCGACAGCACAATTCTCCGAGGATCAAGAGACTGCAAGTGTATTAAGCTAAGATCATAGGACATTTGGTTCTTGTTATAGACACATCCAACAAAAACTTTACAAAGAAATCACGACTTTTTGGTGACAAGCATCTAAACACTATATTTTCTTATTCACACTCATTGTCAAGCTCTTGAGGATAACCACAAAGTAACCAAAAAGGATTTTTGCATCCTTGCACAGTAGCTAAATTAGAAAAAGGAATGGTTATAGAGTAGTCTAACAAAGAACAGCCACCATCAAGAAGATTTCTACTTTCCTTAACTCACAAAAAGACTAGGACATTCTACCTTTTCATACACCTTTTTGGAATTTTTTTCTCATTCAGTAAAACCTCACATTTACTTTGGGTTCTTTCTACATAAGCTGGAGTAAATCATGGTGCGACTTCCCTTAAATACATCGGTAATCCGTGTATCTTTCAGAAATTCCACCAGTATGAAACAAAAAATTCTAAATTTTCTCTTCCCCAATTTCAGTAAGGCATAAACATCTCCATTCAATCCTCTCAATCCACTTAGAAAATGGCTGTCTTTCTAAATATCCAAAATTAAAATAATAATATAAAAAAATAAAAAATAAAAAAATAAAAAACTAAAACTCCAAAATTTGCAATCATTAAATAATTGAAATTCTAAATTGAGTACACTCACTTCAATTCATGATCAAAAATCAATATTCCAAACTCTACACACTGAAATATCTCAATTAACAATTAATTGTTGTCCTAAAATTCACCAAACGGTATATATAAATCAGCAAAACCCTACAAAACAAATCAAACATAGAAAAACTACCTCGGCAAGCTTGTTTCCTTGAGCTTCATATTCTTCACCGAGCTTCTTAGCATTCTCTTCACCATTCCCAGAAGCAGAAATTTCCTTATTTGACAATTCTTCGTTCTGGACCGCTCTATCTTCTTCTACTACATCGGTTCCAGTATTTTTAGTTTTGGTATTGGCATCATCATTTTGATTAACCTCATCATCAAAAGGGAGGTTCGAATAGTGAGAGATAGGTCGTTTTTTGTTCTGATTCTTCTTCCATGTCATCTTCATCCTCTCTTTCTTTCTTCTACGGGGATTTGTGTTGGGGTGGATGATTTGTAAGAGGAGTTTCTTTGACAAGGCATGAATGAGTAAGCGAGGTTCGGAGTTCGGATAGATTTGTGTAGACCTTATTTGGGCTTGTAGAATAATTGTTGGGCTGAGCCAACTCATTGACTAAGGAAATTTGGACAATTGCCTAACTTTTCCTTTAAAACATAAAAATACTTTAGTTCACCCGGGTTTTGCACTTTCATCGTGGTCAACAAATTTCGACTTCACTCACGTTCTCGTAGATATGATCTTGCACATTTGAACAAATCGTTAGTCACTCGTAAGCTTCTTTGATGGTTGGAAAGGCAATTGCGAATACCTCAATGGTCAATTCAGTCAAAGACAAATAATATATTGAGTGTGGAACGTTCTTAAAATGTGAGTTACAAAAGTGTATGAATACCGAGAGTTTGTGAACAAGTAAAATGAAAGAGAGAATGAACAATCTTACTTTGAATGTGTAAAATTGCATTACCCTAGAGATTGCATTGGGTGTGAGCTTTCATATTAGCATGGATCAAATGGTAGCCGTTGGAGGGTTCATCCTAACAGTCGAGGCATCCCATCGTCGATGTACTTGAAGTGAACTTTGATTGCTACATTCTAACAACGATGTAGTGGCAATGGAGCTTCGTTGGCGGTGGCACTATAGTAATGGCGACGCTACTGAATGACAAATGTAGATCTAGAAATTTGCTGGTGGTGACTACAATGGGCAATGGTCAGACAACTAGTAGATTTGAAAGCGAGGGGACGAGATCGGATGTACATCGTGGTGCTTGTTGACGGTGATGAGTAGGGGTGAGATAGGATGAATATTTATTGTGACGGTTAATTGGGTGATTTGTGATTTACTAAATATTTAATTTGTAAATTGATATGTGATTGTGACCTATAAATTGTGTGGTAGATGACTGTAACTTAAAAATTGCGGTTTGTTAATGTGATATGTTTAATTTCAATATTAGATTAAAACACTTATTAGAGGTTAAAAAAAAAAAAAAATGTGACCACTCGATTTTTCAAAAAAATTTCACAAATCTGTTAAATATGAAATTGTATTTGTTAAACATTTATGAAAAAATTCCATTACTTTATTTATATATTGTTATTTTTAATCATTTGTAATTAAAATTGATTTTTTATTTTTTATTTTTCAATTTTCCAAAAGAAGCCACCCTTGCACACCCCAGAAACCTGACCTTTAGGTGTCCAAGGCAATAATTAAAGCTTGTTTGGGAGAGATTTATAAGTGAAAAATAATTTATTATTATTATTTTTTTTTGGGAGTTTTGTGGTTAAAAGTAGGAAAATGTCATTAAACCTATAAAATTTGTGGAACAAAACTATCGTACGTTAATGCCATCCAACCTACCCTAAGATTTTGAAAATTAATGAGTTATAAAACTATAATACGTTAATGGTTGTTCCACACTCAATCTAAAAGTTAACATTGATGTCTACCAACAAATTACTATAATATCGAGAAGAAACCAAGAAATTGACAAATAACATTATACGAAAACATCAAAAATTTAATTATTTGTTACCTTGTCAATTTTAACTGTTTATTACAAAAATAGTGATTATTGATTTTCACAAAAATCGTAAATTTCCACTTATATTATAAGGTATATTCACTTATTATTAGATATGCATAAAAAGTTGTTGAAGCTTGCCCACATACAATTTTCGGTCTGATTTAATTTTGCAAATTATAATAAACATTTTAAATCACTAAAATTTAAATTTGAACAATTCGATTCTTATTTACTTGATTAGTGGACTTTATACAAATAGGTCGTCCTTTCTTTTTTTAATTTTTGACACTTTCAAATCAACTTGCTTAGAAGGTGAATTAAACAAAAAATAATATATTATATGTAATGTTGATTGTTGACGTCAAGGCTAATTTTGAACCAACTTGAAGAAAAATATGGAATTTATTATTAAAAGAAACCACAAAATATGTTGAGAAAGTGTAATTGTGCCATGAGCTTTTACATGAATTCACTTGCCCTTTACAAGATTTCTACCCTACTATTTATACATGGCTCCAGCCGAAATTACATCAAATCAGCTATAGTACTGAGCTCAGAACTCGGGTCGCCTAATTCTCCTGTGATTGGTCAACGAGGCAGGTGGCCATGTGTCAATGTTTTCCTCGGGTAATGATGACCTGCAATGGGCTTGAGAATCATGACTTCGGATTGACGGTTTTGGACGGTGATGACGTCATTTGTGGCCAGTGTATATGATTAATAGGGTGATGTGACAGGAGGTAATCATAATATTTTCCTGAGATAACGGCGGGCTAGTCTGATCTGGGAGCAGTGACCGAACTCACATCTGCCTGTGGTGGGTTTAGAGAATTGTTTTTGTTAGATCGGAGTTCGGTAGTCAACAGTCACCCCCAGGTCAGTTCTGCTGTGAGGAGGAGCTGACCTTTCATCTTATCAGACCCTTTTCTCGAGGGGTTCAATTATTATTGTCCCAAGTGTTACGTTTTTTATAGGGGTGAGCTGTACGGCATTTTAGACAGCTTCTTTGAAAAGTTTCGTGAAGAGACCATTTTGACTACCCAACCATTACTGCCATTTGATTTTTTCCTCCTTTTTTGAATGGACGGTCCGATTTCAGACCCTTTGACTTCTCTTCCTTTTAAATCCCTTTTGGTCTTTCATTTTTCCTTTTTACTTTATGCAATTTTCTCTCCAAGGTAGCAATATACTCCCAGTGTGCCTTATCTTTCTTCTGAGTGAAGTCTTCTTTCCTTTGGTTTCCCAGGTATTCCTTTGCTTTTCTCTTCGTCCTTCCTATTCGTATTTTCATTTTGATCTTTACATGAGTTCGGACGTGCCTAGAGGACACTCCTGGGGAAACCAGTAGGAAGAATATGTTCCTTCTTCGTCGAGCTCGTCGTCCAGTTGTAAAGAAATTTTTACTCCTGTCCCTATCTCCGTAGTTAACCCAGCGGACCTAGGACGTACTGTTATGGAATCTGGTGGTGAGGGCTCAGGGAGGGAGGTTGGGGACATTAGGGATGTTGAGGGGGTGTCCTTGAGGAGTGGGGAGCGAGTTCTTACAGGTTTGTTGCGACGGGAGACATGTTAGCTAACTGGCGAGCTAAATACGCGATTTCGATTTCGATAATAATGATCATACCAGAACCTTCTGACCGAGCTGACAATCCCCCAGAGGGATTTGTTGCTTTAAATTCGGCCATACTTTAGGCTGGTCTTAGACTACCATTCTCAACGGTAGTTTGTAAGTTTCTTTCTTCTTGGGGCATAGCTCCTACGCAGTAATGTCCCAATGGGTGGCGAACCTTAATTGTCGCCATCATTCTCTGGGATAGGATGGGGAATCCTGAGCTGAGCGTTCGACAATTCAATTCACTGTTTAAATTCAAAGAGGATGGAAAGAACTATGGCTAGTGGTATACTAGCATTAGACCGAGGACAGGGGGGGTCATTAGTACTAGACACTCCTTCCTCGATCAAAAAATGGAAGGAAGAGTTCCTTTACGTATCTTGGAAGTGGCAATTCCACCCTTCCGAGGTGAACAGAGAGGATGTCGTTCCCCGACTCTACCACTCTTTGTGTAAGTTTTTTATGATCTGACTTTTTGACAAGCTGAGCATTGATTTAGTACTGACCTTTGCCCTGTTTGCATATTAGAAGAAAGAGACCCTGACTAAGGACACGCAGCAATGAGTTGAGGTGATAAGGGCATTGCCAAAGAGGCAGAGGTCTTGCAAATTTGTGATTTCGGATTCGAACTTATTCCAGGCCGGTTTAGTGCAAGTGCGAGCATCCAGTTCGTCGGTCCCTAGATAATCTACTTCTGCTCCCCCTAGCTCAGGTAATAGCAGAGTTTTGTATTTTTTGTATTTTTTTACTGCTTTATTCTATATTTCAACTCATAACTCAGAGATGCTGGGGTATAAAGCGGCGGCAGCGAAGGCAAAAAAGAGAGATGTTCCAGATTGGTCAAAGAGCCGTTATGAGGAGGTAGAGGAGGAGGTTCTATTGAAGAGGAACCGAACTTCCACGTCGGCTACTCCACGCATACATGAGGTCGTTCCTTTGCTGAGCTCTTCTCCCATGGTAGCCATTACTCTGCCATCACCAACTCCTCCCTCTCCTGCTCCAGTTGCGGCCTCCGTAGCTGGGGCCAGCTCAGTTAGGTCGCAGGAGAGGTGCCTTGACCTTCATCAGTTGAGCTTAGACAATCTGGTGAGCCACCAACCAGAGATCCTTCTCCACTATCTTCGTGCTCCATCTCCCCCTAGAGAGGTGACAGCTGCATTCACCTCACCTTTGCGGGAATCAGCAAACTTGCTCACCAGGAGCTGGGGTGAGAGAGAGCAAGGTTACCTAAATGAGATGCCCATTGGCGTGGCCCTAGTCACTGCATAGCTCCACGATCACCGATCCATCCTGTACATGATGGTCGTCGCATATAAGGTATTCCCTGTTTGTGCTGTGCATTATGATTTTTTATTTGACTATTTTATTGACTTCAAGACTTTTTGATGTTTTGGAAAATAGGTGAAGTTCTAGCTGGACAAGTTGATGGAGGCTAAGGATCAAGCCTTCAACCTTTACCAAAGTATGGAAGCTGATAAGGCTCAGTTCACTTTGAAGGAGTACGAAGAAAAACTTAACCAGATGGAAATCAAGCTGAACTCCAGGCTCGATCAAGAGGAGAGGTTTATGAGAGAGATTAGAGCTCTAAGGGCCTCGGAGGAGGAGGACAGAGGTCGGGCTGAAGAGGAGAAAAGAAAATTTGAGGAGGAGCAAGCTAAGGTTGTAGAGGCAGTCCAGAAGATGCAGGAGGCAAATGAAAGGGCTAGGGAGGCTGACAAGAGGGTAGACGAGGCTGAGGCTAAGGCCACCAAAGCGGTGGAGACTTGGAGGGAGTTTCCCGAATTTGATGCTTTAGCCTAGGACGCTTATGTCGTGGCATTGAAAGAGCTGGTGAAACATATCCGAAAGGAGAGGCCGGATTTTGACGCGACGTTCTTGGAGGATGCTTTAGAGGAGCAGAAGGAGG